CCTCGGAGGCGACGGTACTCCAGGGGAAAGATATCAAGCATCGCGAGACGCATTTCGAAGTCCACGGATTTGAGGCCCGCAACCATTCTCGTGGCGGCCTGCTGGACACGCTCAATGAGGGTGACGTCTTTCGTACGTCCTGAGTAGACAACTTGGCTGGCGTACTCCAGGAGCGGCCTGACGTAGGCCTCAATGAGTATTTGGAAGTCAATGCGAGTAATACGGGAGAAGGTGCGTCGGATCATCCGTAAAGCTGTTTCGGATGCTCAATATGAAGCACGACCGTTGCTTAAGTTCATCACTATTGGCCACCAGAGGTGCGATGGGCAGCCCCCGTACCCGGTTTCCATTCCCGAATCAATGAACCGATACGATGGGGGGCTTAATGGAGTGTGGGAGATCACAATTGTAGGGCTTATTGCACCCTACAAACAAGCGATGTATTAATTAATCAATTAAACGCTCCAATAGTTCAACATGTTAAAATTTATTCGCCTCCGATGGGCTGCAACTGAATCTTTTTCTAGGTCTGCAGTCGTAACAGAATCAAGTAGACGGACTCAAGGGCGTTGCATGTGCATAGGTACGTTAGAATGCGACGTGTGCCATTTGAGTGCGCGGCCTAAATGCAGCTCCAGGGAAGCACGGAGAATGACATTGTAGTACGTTTCCTGAAACTTGAAAAAAGTAATCTAGAGGTCACTGTTACTCATCAAGTGCCTGGCAAAATCCCATGGTTGTGCCTCATCTGTGACGCACGCCTGAGGTCACTCTTGCTTTTATGCTTAATGCATCATTATGCTCATACCGAAAGGTATGCAACCCACCAAATAGGAAATTTTTCATTATGGGGGGTTGTTTCGGAGGCGGGGTCATGGAACTCGGGGGAAGTAGTAGCGTAAGTGAGTACGAGCTGGAGTGTACGCACAGAGGATGTCGGGGTTAGGAAATTTATAGGGGCGACGGGAATTTATATCGGCCCACCATATGTCACGGGGGCATCTTTGTGCAATGGATGGTGTAGCAGACTCTACCTAACTTAGATTGTCCGAATCTTAGTTGTCCAAGGCCAACTATCATGCAGCGGGAGAGCCAGGAAGGAAAGCCGGACTACGAAACAGCTTTCAGATGAATGAGAGCTGGACGTTTTCATGTGTTAGTCTGCAACGTTGGGTATGAAAAGAAAATTAACCAGGGCGGAATTCCGTGATTGGTTGCATACGATGCCTAGAAATTGTGATGTATGCGTCTCTAAGACGCAGGCAGCTAACATTAGAAGCAGGGCGGGAATGGCTTTAGCTGAATTTGATGAAAGAGGTATAAATAAATGTGTCTGATAACAAAGATCTTTCATTTCTGTGTAACGAGTGACAGGATATCCATCAGTTGTGGACACTTTAGCTGAGAGGGAGCAGCGGCGGCGAAAGGGAAGCTTAGGCTGAAATTATTTGGCCAGCGAGTCACAGGGCCTAGGTATTGTTGGATCTGGTGAAAGGAATGGGACCCAACAGAAGCGGGAAATGTGTAGGCGATTTTTCCATCGTCTGTAAGGAAAACAGGCTTGCCGTGGGACAAGGCGACGAACAAACAGTTGATATCATATATATACAAGGAATGCCTAGGTCGTTTCCTCGAACGACTCCACTAGTAATCGATCGTAGATATGACTTTTGGCACCCAGACTGTGTTACTTGTGTTCCGTCAAATAGACATGAGATGAGCTCCTGAACTAAGTAATCAGTGGTGCAAACAAAATTACATTTCTGTAGAATGATACGTAAAAGCTCTCCATACCAGTGTACGCCACTATGGTGGAATGCGAGGCGTCGCACACTGTTGTGGTGGTCACAAAAAATTGAAGCTGGCAGTCGCTGACTGACTTCTGAACCAGGAATATGTGCCGGCTTTCATCAGTGGCATTTGTTTCTAAGGGAATCTTGGGTAGTGTGTCCTCAACCAGGCTTTCAACCGCTCTCACTAATAGCTGAGTATGGTGGATCCACTGGGCCTCGAAGTGGCTGGCTGAATCCGGGTTTGAAGTGAGGCTGGGCTGCAGATTGTCTCCACTGACAGGGGGCGATTCCGAGCTAACAGAATGGATGAAACAATTCACTACGAGGATTTCGCCATCTACACGGCCATGCTCCCGTACACGAACCGCACGGCCATCGGCCCTAAGCGTGACAGATTCCTTAAGGGGGTAAAAAGAACGAAAACAGCATCGGAGACGATTGTCACTCTGTTAACTGGCGGGTGGCTATTCTGACAGTAAGTATATGTGAAATTTGTGACAGGGTGCATTGGGTGCTTTGTAAGAAACAACGCGGTGGCCACTTCTTGGAAAGCGTGGATCGACTGTGGCCGTAGCCAAATGACCCCCGTCTGAGAATATTTGGTCTTGTGTATGAAGACCATGAGTAGGGGACCGATCTGCACTAAGTTAGGCAAGCAGTGAGGTGCATGGGATGGGGCCCGTGAGTGGTAAGCCAGGACATATCCGGTAGGATGGAGACATCCAGCACAAACTTAGACGGATGAGGGAGGGCATACCCTGGTAATACGAGCTAAGTCAGCAGCAGAGGAAAGGATGGTGCTAAATAGATGCAACCTGCGAGTATACATTGGTTGGTCTGTTCTGTATAGATCTGGATATCCTCTGGCATCCATTCAAGGATAGAATCTGCAGCGATGGCGGGACAAACTGCTGATTTATAATGGATGGCACAGCCTTTGCCTCTTGAGTTCTTTCTGTAAGTGTAATGTATATTATTGTTACAGATTCAAATTACCGTGTACAGGATTTCAACTGAGAGTCATATTTAAGTCAAAAAATTAGACTTGGTTGTTCGATAGCGCTAATTGCAAGAAGACCCAGAAAATTTAGCAGTGACTAGCGGGAAGTAAACAACAACTGAAGAGAAAACCCCGCTCACGGTGGATTTTGTTACTAGAAGGGACAGTTGGGGATACATTTAGGAGGGTCTGTTGGGCGTGTTTGGCGTCGGTTGAAGTGTACATAACACTGGAAGAAGGTGGATAAATGGTGGTCAACCTGGGTTTGAACTCACAAAGAGTGTAGAGTACGAGGCTCAGTAGAAGCTAGAGAATGCCTTTGGGATGTGGACGTGCAGCAGAAAGGAAAGTATTTGGTCGTGAACTTCTTCGCATCGCCAGGTTGTGCGGAGGGAGGCGTTGTCCAGAAAGAGGAAGAAGTGGTGGGTGTGAAGAGACTGAGGGCAGCAGAAAATTGTGATAGGGTGGAATGAGAATGGGTGAACAGGGAGGTGAAAGCGGGTAGAGATTGAAGACAGCCGTAGACTGCGGATACGGGATTTTACCAGGCACATGTGACGCGAGGTTTGATGTTCTTGTTGTCCAGTTATAGGGGGGCCGGAGCACAGTCAGGTTACCTTACAAAACACGAGGGATGGATTTAAGGGCGTCGAGTTGAGGAGACGATATAATATAAGGCTTTGACGATACTAGGGTTCTGCTTGGTAGGTCTCAGTGACCAATGTTTGAGACCTAGTTAGTAACGATTCAGAAAATGACATCAGCAATTATTACTAGCGGCTTCAATTTTTATTGTTTGTATTTTTTACCAAACGGAAGGGTCGCCAGGATTCGTATGGCAATGTTTCCATCCCTGGTTAACAATATTATTAAGAAAAATACGGGGCCGTCCAGCTGTGAAGGTAGTGTAGGACTTGTCATCCGTAGTCGAGATGTATGTTTGAGCAGGATTAGTTCAAACGTTTTTCAAACCGCGATCTGATGACGGCATTCAATGCATTTAGTCTCAGGGCGAGAATGTCAATATGATTGGATGCTACCGCATGATTTGATAAATATATTCTTCAAAATGAGAGTGGTTCACTTTCCATCACGTGCGAACGGCCGGTTGGTTCTGCCAGGTCTCTGTCTGAAATGGAGATGCTTTTAGCTACGTTGAGTGAATGGATCTTTTGACTAGAACAGATCCAGCTACTACTACCAAATGGTTTGAGGTTGCTCGAAGCACTCGGTAAACCGGCTTAGAAAGATGAAGGGCTTAAGAGCTAGGTCTCTCGATTGCGAGGCGCTTCTTTGGACACACTGAGGGTATGGATATTGGGGAGTCAGTGCCCTTTCTGCTTGGAAAAGAAAGACTGGTGTGATGGCATCCTATTTTACTTCGGCTTAAAATGAATATTTATTCTTCAAGCAATAGGAAGGATAAAGTCCTATAGTTAACACTTACATCGTTTCACGATCTCTTCAGGGCTTTTTAACTGCCTATATGTGCTGATAGTTTAGATAAGAATATATAGCTAAACACTAGTGGCAGTCTTTCAACTAGAACGACGATGGAAATGAAACCTAAATCTGTGTCCTACCGAGGAGAAGGACAGCTGTGAGGCACACTACGCGTCATGTTCTCGCGAACTTGAGATTTGCAAGTTATAAAAAATGTCACCGGGTGCTGAATATCGTCGCAAGGCCTGTTTATAAACGTAAGTCCGAGAGCTGTTTTTCAGTGTCCAAGGGGAAACTTCCCAGTTTATCACAATATTTCGGGATCGATCGGAAATTATGGCGGCAGGCTTACAGTTTATGGTGAGCTACATGGTGCGAGTATCGAGCAGCTGGAGCGTCGAGAACATCACCGGGGAACATCACAGGAATCAAGGCGAGCACAGTTATTGTATGCATAAAAATCGAGCAAAGCTTCGTGGATGTTCCGGAACAAAGAGGATTCTTTAACATCCGACCTTGGGGTTCCCAGTTTCTACAACCCATTGCATGTATTCTAAACCCTGTTGAATATTTGCCTTGCAATCTGTAAGCACCCTCGTACCGGTTTATTAGTACCTTGACCGATAGAACCAGGTTATGGATCCCAATGCACTTGGCTGGATTCCGTCTGAGTGCCCCAAACACCGCTGTGTGTGCCATGTTGCCTATATCGCTGAAACCACTTGGCCCTACGTCCCCTAATGATACATCGTAAATGTACACGGCCCTTATCGCCTTCTAGAATCAGAGGAAGCAATTTCATCTGTACAACAAACCTTGGCATCAAAGATGAAAAAGCTCGCACATGACCACAAAAGCTGGCTGTCAATAGCCTGAACCCTGAGGTCAGTCACCCGAGGCCTTAATGACTGAAATCCTCCATGTTTGGCCGCGATGATGCCCTCATCGCCTCCTACAGACACTTTACCCTCCATTCCCTCATGCCAAATCTCTACAGAGATATCCTAGT